TTCTCCAGTTTCCGTTAGGCTTGATCACCAAAACGGGGTTTGAGACCCAACGTGGGTAACGGGCCTCCCTGATGAACCTATTGTTGATCAGCTTATCGACCTCCTCTTTCAGCGCTTCATACCTCTCGGGGTTCATTGGTCGACGCTTCTGGCGCTTGGGAGGATATGAGGGGTCGACGTTCAGGGAGTGACATATAACCTCAGCGTCGATCCCTTCCATGTCAGCATGATTCCAGGCGAAGACATCTAAGTTCTATCTGATGAAGTTTTCGATCTCGACCTTAAGTGATGGGGCTAGATCCGAGCCTATTTTTAGTACTTTGGTTGGCTCGCCTTCATCAACTTGGATTTCCACCAATTGCTCGATGGGTTGGGACCATATGACATCCTCTTGAACCCTGGGGTCTATGTCTTCGACGGTGTTTTGATAGACCATCCTAGTTTCCTGTTTCCCTGGCTGGTCGTATCCGCGCAGGGCATCAGAGTATGCAATCCTAGCCTCATACTGGTTGCTCTTCATTTCACCTACGCCGTTTGGGGTAAGGAACTTGATCTTCTGGTGGTAGACGGAGGTTATTGCCCTTAGTGCCTGAAGGGTTGGTCTCTCGATTACAACATTGTACTGGGAGCCTCCCTTTATTACCACAAAGTTGGCCATTGTCGTAGTCTGTCGGGGTTTCTCTCCTGCGGTTATGGGCAGCCGAATAGTCCCCTGAGGGATGACGGAGTCCCCGGTGAAACCGTATAATGGCCTGGAGGTCTTTTCCAACTGCTCTTTTTAGATCCCCATTTTTTCCAAGCAGTCGGAGTATAGGAGGTCCACCGAACTCCCATTGTCTACCAGGATTCGGCACACAGTGTGGTTCCCAATCATGGCTTCCACCACCAATGCGTCGTTGTGGGGGAAGTGAACTCCGCTGGCGTCGTCCTCATTAAAGGCCACGTCGATGTGGCTATATCTTAGGGTTTTTACCGCGGAGACGCTCTAGAACCTTTCTTGGTAAACCCCCTTAGCCTCATGGGCATAGTCCTTCTGAGACTTCCTTGAGTCTCCTCCTATATAGGGGCCGCCGAGGACAGTTCGTATGACGCCGACGGGTTCTCGGTCCTCTGGGCGCTGGTTCTCCTCTCGGCGTCGACCGTCATTCTGTCCACCGTGGCCGTCGTTCCAAGGTCTCCGCTCGGCTCTAAACTCCTGTAGCCTCCCCTCGCGGATTACTCTCTCGATTTCATCCTTCAGGTCGGCGTAATCGTTAGTGTGGTGGCCGACATCGCCGTGGAACCTACAGAATTTCTTTTGGTTCCTTCGGCTGGGATCCGATTTCATTAGTTCTGGTCGGCGCAGCAGGTTTCCGCGGCCGACCTGGTTGAAAACCTCCTCGACTCCTACCGTTAGCTCGTGATAGGAATCGTACTTTTGAAACAGTCGAGGCTTACCGGTATCCTCTTGCCTTGGCTTCTGGAGCGCTCGTCGTCGTAGCTGGCTGCTTGTCTCCGCTTCCTCCACCTCGACGCTTCTTCCCATCCTGTTTTGTTGGCGTCGACCCCTGTTCGGTCCCTTTATTCTTGTTGGGCCTATGCTCGGGGTCATTTGCATCTGCCTCTTCGGCGTTGATGTACCCTTGCGCTCGCGTAAGAAATTCCTTGTAGTTGGACGGGGGTTTTCGGTTCAGCTCTCTCTTGAAGGGGGTAATTTTCTTCATGCTAGATAATGCCCCCATCAAGGCCTCTCTGTCTGTTATATCCATCGTGGCGGCGACAGCTTCCCCATATCTCGCAAGCCATTCCCTTAATGACTCGTTCGGCTTTTGGTATATCGCCGTCAGATTCTGCTTCGGGGGGACGTATTTTTTAACCCTTATGAATTGGAGGGAAAATGCTTCCTTCAACTTTTCTCAGCTTGAGATAGAATTTGGCCTCAGCGTCCGAAACCATCTTCGGGCAGAATCCGTTAAATGGTTATGAAAATCTCGGCACATGATTTCCTCAGCATACCCGTGTAAGAGCATGTGCCCTGTATACATCTCCAAATGATCGTCGGGATCCCCTCGACCATCATATGGTGGGATCAACGGTGACCTATATTTGTCGGGGAGAGGGGGCGCCATTATTTCTGCAGTAAACGGATGGTCATGTGTGCGGCTAGGTATGATGTCGACGTTTACCACCTCAGCCACTCGAACTATGTTCTTCTTCAGGCCTGCCACGTCCCCTGTGAGTTTTTGCTCTAGGCTGGCCATACATTCCATGATGGCGCGCGCTTCTTCTGTTGAGATGGCCGAGCCAGCTACTCTCGATGCCTCTGCCCTTTGAACGTTGGGTTCGCCCCTTGCCTGGCCGCCCGCCTGTACTGACCCTGAGTCTCCTGGTGGGTTTCCCCCTGGATTTTAAGGTAGTACTTCGGGATTTCCCGGGCCTCTCGGTATCCGATCCTCGGGAGCCCGGAGTCCGGCGGCCCTTACACGGCTGCCGAAGGATTGGGAAGGTCGAGGCCTAGGAGGGCCCCGGTGATTCTCGATGTCCCCGGTTCCTTCTTGGATATGTGGGCGGTCACCGGGGTTCGGGTTTTCAGCCATGGCAGGTCCCAGCGGCCTCGGGACGTCTTCTAACGGCGACATAGAGTTCCTTCCATCCAAGCGCTCAACCACGGTCATTAGCTCACGCACGAACTCGGTTAGAGTGGTTAGTTGGGCCTGCATCCGCACAGGATCCGGCTGTGGCGCGTCTGGGAGTGGGACTTCGTTTCTGACCGGGTGTGGATCTTCTTCCATCCCGTTATTCCCTGGATGGGTGGCGGTTTTCGTCCGTCTGGATGCCTCAGTTGATGGCCTCAATTCTCTTTCTTGGAGGCGTGCTTGCTAACTATGTTGTTTCGGTCCCCAGTGGAGTCGCCAATTGTTGACGGTGAATTCTCGTCAACAAAAACAGGCCGGGTTACTTTTGGGTTTCCCGTTGGATTTCCGGCCTTAGTGTTGAATGTGTGTAAGAATTTGTTGGAGGGGTATATTGTGCGTCAATAAAAAATGTACACAAATAAAGAAGACAAGAGATTTTATAGTGGTTCACTCTATAGAATCAGAGCTACATCCACTGTGGTCGTATATTTCTTTTGAGGGGATTACAATTTACATCAATTGCTCTCTCACTCTTTCTTTCTCTCTTGGATCTGAACTCCCTTCCTGTATGGGGTCTCGCCCCTTTTATACTGGGGCTTCCTTCTCTGAGTTGATTTCCTTTGTAGGCAGAAGCACTCAAGTGCTCTCCCTTTTTAGGCCCAGACGTAGCCCACTAATTACTTATAGTACTGTTCACTCAGCCAATTAGTCTTCTATTACGGCTCTGTGCGTTCCTGTAACCCTTTTCTGTCCCCTGTGGGGCGGTTTAAGGGTTCGCAATTAATGCCTGCTTTGCAGACATCCTCCACTTCTGTACGCAACTTGCCATGTCAGGTTTTTTCCCAAAGAGCATTCCCCTCGTCGCCAGTGTTGCTTAACCCGCTTGTCCTTCTTGGCGGTCGATTCTACGGTCGAGGGATTTCTATGTCTAAAGGTCGACGGTATGACCTGTCGACGCCTTAAGTTGGACTTCGTACTTGGCTTTTTATAACAGACTGGGAGGGAGCCCCCTGACGTCGAGAGTTGTTGCTTTGCGGGGAGTGGTTAAGGCCACGTGTCATATCATCGTTCTTCCACGTGTCCGTCACATTTTCCTACACAACACTAAGCAACAAAAAAAAAAAAAAAAAAATCTCCAACGTTGGAGGTTAACCATGAAGTCTCCTCTTTTCCTTTCTCAATCTCTCTTTGCTAGGCTGGCTAAACTATAAAGTTCCGCAAATGAAAAGATAATTTGGTTTCAATCTTCCCATACATCAATCGAAGATATTTTGACGAGAAGGTTGAGTATTATTCACTACAAGAAAAGATGTATTAATTGTCACTAATAATTTTTGACGTTCTTATGTCGTCAAAAATATTCACACTTATCGACGTTATTTTAAAAAGTTAATATCGGTAGGTTTATTTGGTCCCTCGCGGGGTGGATTTTGTTGACCAGAAACCTTTTGACGCCTATAAACATCGATAAGTTTTTAAGAATTAAGTTTGTGATGCCATATAGCAACAGAAATTTTTTTGAGAATTGAGAGTTAATTTTTTGACTATCTATATTCTATTATCCGGTTTTTTTTTTTAATCTAATCAGTTGTTCCCAATGTAAACTAAATGAATAGATGTCATAATTCATACTGTACAGATTTTTATGTAACATGATGATTGCAGTGATGCTTAGAATCTTCATAAATAATCTGATTTTTTTTTAATAGCAAGTGGCATTGCATTAATTTCTTCCATCTATTACAAAATTAAAAATCAACCATCCATACAAAGTAATTTTATGACAAAAAGTAGAAATAAAAAAATATAACTGAGAGAACAACACATCCCTTGGTCCATAAAATATTCATAAAGAAAGGATTTTGGAAAGGCAATATTAATGGTGGGTTTTTTTTTTTTTCAACGTTCTCTTTGAATTTGATGAGCGTTAACTCTAGATAGGTAGAGGAAGGACCGCAAATTTCTGTAAAATTCCTTATTTACTAGTTATAAAAGTGGAACTGAAAGCTGTAAAACTCGAACACCATTAGTAGGATTAACCTTAAAATTTTCAACAGGAGAATAAGAACAAAACGTGATCAACGAGCGGTTTACATTAATTTGGTGTGTTGTTAATCATGATTTGTAAGTAGTTTATTAATTACTGCAATGATTAAGATGGCTTTAACTTACGGGTAAGCAGAGAGGGACACAGCAATAATTTTGCAGAATCACCCTCACCATGTGACCAATTATTAACTTCCAAGTTCCATCATATTTTCTGCTACCCTTCGATCAAAACCAAATGTCACATGCTCGCAAGGCAATTCGAAGTACCCAGTACTCTGGTGCCCATCAATGTGAGTTATGACCAAAACCTTTCATATATTTTTTGTGACTAAAAACACAAAAAACTTTTCAAAAACATTGTCTTATAGATGGAAATTAGTATGCCTAAAACATATCTAGTTTGGTAAGTCAATAGATAGACCCAATTCAACTTATCCCCACTTCACTTCTCTCACTTGGGTTTGCTCCAAAATGGGAAGAACTTCTTGTTGCAGCATTGAAGGGCTGAAGAAGGGCGCTTGGACGGAAGAGGAGGACAAGAAGCTCGTCGATTACATCGCGAACCACAGCGAAGGAGGCTGGCGGAGTTTGCCGCAGAAAGCTGGTGAGTAATAGTGGATATTCATGTTTGTGTTTGTTTGGTTTAATAATGATATGTTGATGCTGTTATGTGTCTTTTTTTTTTTTTTTGTAAGGCCTTTTGAGGTGTGGGAAGAGTTGCAGATTAAGATGGGCTAATTACTTAAGGCCAGGTATTAAGAGAGGAGAATTTAGTCCAGAGGAAGAAGAGACCATTATTAAACTACATTCTGAATTGGGAAACAAGTGAGTGATTTGATCCTCATCTGATAATTTGGTGCTACCACCAAATTCTTGTGTTTTATCTCTTACACTTTTTTTTTGGTTCCTTTTTCTGTTTTGTTTTCAGGTGGTCAACCATCGCCAAGCACTTGCCAAGGCGAACAGATAACGAAATCAAGAACCATTGGAACACACGGCTGAAGAGACGCGCTGCTGAAACGCGCATTGATAGAAATTTCGCGCGCAATCCTGAGCCTCCGGAGGGCGGCAACAACAATACCGAGGCAGAGACTAGTGCTAGGAAGGAAGAACTCAAGGATTCCGGTAAGTTCATAGGTCCGATTTCCACATCTTCTAAGCTACTCAACAAGGCCGCCGCTAAGCTCCGGTTATCGGGTTCTCTTGCCTCGTTCTTGTCCCAACAAATTGGGAAATCCAAGTCATTAGAAGGTAGTTCTGTTCCTAGTACTAGTTCAGCTCACTTGCTCAACAAAATGGCCACAAACTTAAGTTCATCATCACCTAGATCACATTCTCTAGGTGCAATTAAAGCAATATTTTCAAAGTCATTAGATGATAATAATGCTGCAATTAGTACTATTACTACAAATAACAATAGTCCTTCTGAGAATATTGGAATTGGCAAATGCAATAGTCTGGTGGAAAGTCCTGATCAATCCGAAAATGCAACGCAAGTTTCAAGCCCAACCAGGACATATTCTGCCTCAGCTAGGCTGCTCAACAGAATGGCCACAAAATTCGCTCTAACTCATCATCGACCGCATTTAGTACTCGGCGATTGGAAAACGGTTTCTTGCAACTCCCCGGATCAAGAGAGCACAAGAACCGAATCCCTCGTCTCCGTACCGAGTCTTTGGATGGTGGATTCACCACAAGAAATGTCACATTTTGATGAAACAACTCAAATTTCGTATCGGGACATGGCGGTAGAGGCCGATCAAGATCAGGCATTCCTCATGGAAATTGCTGATGATCATCATCAGAAAGAAAGAGATTGTGACTCATATGATGGTTGTAGTACTCCTGTAGAAGCCATTGTGGGGGACTTGGAGGCTGCAAATAACTGGAATATTGACTGTTTTTACATAGATGACTTATTTAACTCTGCAAAAAGTCAGTGAAGTTTTGATCAACTTTAAGAGCTTTCTAGTTCCAACTAAGTATGTACTGTGAGGCAAGCTGTGCTTGTTGGAGGGAGTAAATTTGTAATTATGTTGTAATTTTTTCTTCTTTCTTTCTTTCTTTTCTTTTTCTTTTTCGTTTTCTTTTCAAGAGATGTAAATGAGTTTTCATGCTAACTGAAACTTAAGAACCATGTTGAATTGATTTTGATATCAGTACGTTTAAAATTAGAAGATCTATATGCTAGGCACTAAAAAATGAACTACTAAAAAGTGTTTGGTGTGGTTTTGATTAGATTCAGGTTATAAACTTACCGTATCTATAAGAAAGTTCTATCTGAAAAAAATCCCTTAAAATTATTAATTATTATATTTTATAATTTTGATTGAGGAAGAGAAGTATTACCATTGGTAAAATGTAGGTACATTTTACCAACCCGGCTTTTCCAAACGAAGAAAACGAATGAGAAAAAGAAAAAAAAAATGTTTTATGGGTTAAAAACCATGTAATACTTTTTCTATATACTTTGAAAACATGCATAAGAAGAAAAGTGATTTGGATATGCAATTATTATGAAGAAGATAAGCTAATTCTAACGCCCAACTATCCCATATTTGATTTTCATCGACCTTTAATAATCTTTACTTCAAGGTTCCCTTATTATTGTTATTTATTATTTTTTAGGACAAATTACATTTCTTCCCCCTAAATTATAAGCAGTGTAACAAAAATGCCCCCTAAATTTTAAAAGCAACAAATTTCTCCCTGAACAATTCGCCGTTAGCACACGTCTCCTTTTTCCACTCACTCGGTTAAATTGTGAACGTTAAGTGCCACGTGGATAGCATGTAACTCTCATTTCAAGGGCCAAAAAGTAATTTATTGTGTTGAGTTAGAAATAGGGCAAAATTCATTTGAATTTTCTGACTTGGTTCTCAGTTTTTGACGACTTGATTCTCAATTTTTGAGTCACGGATCGGAGAAATTGAGTTGGAGTTTTTGTTACCCACTTACTTCTGAGTGTTTTGACACTAACGACATGAGAAATGGCGGCCAAAATTGACGGAGCCAAACTCCTCCACGGCAAGCGGTGGCGGCGACTTTGAATTCCTGCAAATCAGCGAGGATGGTGGCGGCTACTGGTCGAGATTGACTCATCTACAAATTCTGAGTGAAATGATGGGGGCAGTGCACTTCACCACCACCGGGACTGCTGTTTTTCGAGAGGAGGCATGGCGGCCGTGGAGGGCGGCTCCAGAGAAACTTTTTCGGCGAGAATCGACAGTAAACTTCAGATGAGTCTTGTTCCTCTCATCACTCTGAGTTCATAGAGACCGGAATCACTTCGATCGGAGGTCGGGCGGAAAAGTTATAGCGATTAGAACTTTTGGGTTTTCCAGAACTTCGGCCGGAAAGTGTGGCTTCATCTGGCGGAGTTGGCAGCCACAAGACACCAATCCAGACTCGGCTCGACGAGAGCTTTCCAATGAGCTGGGAGTTCTCGAAAATGAACGCCTAAATACTTGCTGGAGCTTCGTGGTCATGCATAGGAAAGGGAGAGGAAAGAGACTGAGAGTGAGGAGGATTCTGATTGGGTGAGATTGGCTAATCTATATAGGTAAAATTATCATTTCATAATAAAATAAAAATTAAATGCCTCAACGACTTTCACGTGGCACTTAACATTCAAAATTTAACTAAGATAATTGAAAAGAAAGACGCGTACCAATGGTAAATTATTTAGAGCAAAAATTTATTATTTTTAAAATTTATGAGGCATTTTATTACATTGCTTATAATTCGAGAGAATAAATGTAATTTATCCTATTTTTTTTAAAGAGTATAGATAAGAGATTCATTTATTTCAACAGAAGTGATAGATTGTTGGGACAACAAATTTTTGATTGATTTGGTGAGCACAAATGTAAATTTCCGATGGCTTTCAAATCTCAAATCTCCCAACAAATCCCTTATATCTCAATTGATACGATTTTAGGTGTTGACAAGTTAATTAGATAATCAAGTGTGCCTGGATATTCGATAGCATAATTATGGCTCGATTTTTTCTTTTCTTTTTCTAGAACATAATTATGACTTGAACTGTACATTGAAGAACCCGAGCTACCTAATCTTCATTTTTGATGATAATTATTATTTTTTTTCATAACAAAGGAAACTTATTTATCACCAAAAACGTGTAGATTGGTGATAATTAATTGTTTTGAGAACATAATTATGACTCGAACATAGCTATACGACTCAAAATTTAAACATCAATGATGTGTTTTCGATATTTTCTATATTTACGCTGAATTTTTAAGCTTTGCAATTTATTTTGAACTTTTAATTTCGATAATTTACTCCCTCTCTCACTCTAACTTGCAAAACTGTTGCAACACGTCTTATTTTGATGATGACGTGTTAAATTAGTAACGAAAGAGTGTATTGAAAGAAAATTTTAATTTCTCAATTCAAATCTTAATATAATCTCTAAATTTCTCAACTCTCAATCTTTCACATTTAACAAAAAATTAAGAATAAAATTAGTAAAACGAGACACATTGTAACACTTTTGCAAGTTAAATGAATAAAATGTCAAAATTAAAAATTTAAGAGATAAATTGTCAAAATTCTATGAAGTCATAAGATAAATTATATGTAAAATACTTTTTTTGGCAAAACATGAAAGTTTTTCTAATTTTTTATTTTTTAACCGTTAAATTTATATTAAAAATTATTTATTTTACATATTTTTTTAATTTAATATATGTAACGGTCAAAAATTAACCACGTCAGATAGGCACTGCGCATGCTTTATTCCACCAAAATAAGTGTACTGTATTTTATGTTCCTTTAAATCATAACTACTAGTTTAGGCTTATTGGTGCATCGACTCAGGGCACTATACATCGTCCGCTTGTTCAATAATTTTGATCTTTTTGAATTTTGAGCAAAATTGTTTAAAAGGTGCTCTCCAACTTTATCATAAGACTCAGCATTGAGCTTCCTGTATTGGACAGACTAAAAAATCCAAAATAAAAAATATGATTTTCCAGACAAGACATGGAAAAAGAATTATTACAATTTTTTTTCTTTTGATCTGATTATTACTTTGTTGGTATACTGTTCTCTCTCTCTCTCTTCTCTCTCTCTCTCTCTCTATTTTCGCTAAACTGACTAGTCTAGGACCACCTCCCTCTCTATTTTCGCTAAACTGACTAGTCTACGACCACATCTCAAATAATGCCGTTGAGTGTAGGGCTGGTAATCCGGATAGTAATATGACGACACGACTTGAAATTCGTATAAAATTAGCGAGTTTGGGTTTATCAAAAATAGATACGGGTCAAAATCAGGTCGAACCCGTGAAACACGATTAAATAACGTGTCATTTTCAGGTTGCCCCGCCAACCCGTAATTGACCCGTCATAACCCGTTTATTAAACGTGTCATATTTGGGTAACACGAATACACAACCCGTTTATTACCCATTTTTTAAACATGTTAAAAAATAGGTTCAGAAATAGGTTAACACAACCCATTTATCACCTATTTTATAAACATGTTCAAAAATATGTTCATAAATAGGTTAACACGACTCATTTATCACCCATTTTATAAATGGATTGACAGGTAATCAATGGGTTGACAGGACACGTTTATGACCTGTTTAATAAACGGGTTATTCGTGTCGTGTCCTGTCAACCCGTTAATAAACGGGTCGTGTTTAAGTTTTGTATTTCGACACGATTAATAAACGGATCGTGTTCGTATCAGACCTATTTGTGTCAACTGAAGAGGTCAACACGACACGAACACGACCCGCCAACCTGAATTGCCACCCCTAATTGAGTGGGACGAGTGATTTTTCTTCTTCTTCTTTTTCTTTGTTTTTTTCTTTTTTTTCTTTTTTATTATTTTTTATTTTGGGAGGCCTTTAAAATTTGGTTAAACTTGAAATTTTTTCATTAATAGTCACTGGGTTATAACATCACCAACATTGGTGCAATTAAAATTTCATATTCCTATAAACTAACCTTGTTGGGTTTAATTGGTTGACAGCTTGACTGCCGTTTAATTAATGAGTATCATTTTTTTTAACCCTTAACTTAGAGACTAAACAGAATTCTGAACCAATTTTTGATAGACAATTTATGTAGTGAAAATTTTGGTAATGTAAAGCTTCATCACGATCAACTAGATTACATAAATGTACGTATAAACGTTCAGACACACACACACACTACAAGAACTGGATTCAGTAATTACTAGATACGAATAATTGAGTCTAGTGAAACCAATCATGTATATTATTTTATCAAAGTATATCTATAGATTTGATGAAGTCTGTATATACACGATATATATATACAGTACTGTTACTTATAATTTATCTGTTAGACATAAAAATTTGGAATTTAACTATATCGAAACGTCTATTAATACCATATTTAATAGAAAGATTACCCTATTTAACGGGCTAATATTTAATTCATGTATTAAAATTATAATATTAAAAATATTTTTAATTTATGTATATTTTTTTATTATAATAAATTATAAATTATAAATTGAATCAGGTTATAAATCTTTTTACTGGACGTTTAATAATAGTTTAATAATAGACAGGCTCCTACATATTAATTTTCGGCAGTCGGTTGTCTTATTCAGCCCCGCCGAAAAAAAACAAAAGAAAAGGAAATTAATTTCACTAAAGAGGAACCAAGAAAGGACAATAATTATACAGGTTTGGACTTTTCGAAACTGTCCTTTCGCAAAACCCAACCGTTCCGCCTCGTCCACCTCAAAGGGGGTCCACATGTCCTACACTACTCTTTTTTCATATTGCTCGTGTGTTTAGATTTCCTAAATATAAATAGAGAGTTTCTAGACTAGAAAAATAAAATTTTTTCAACAGTTTTTAATTATTAAATTTATATTAAAAATTATTTATTTTATATATTTTTAATCTCATTTAATTTTAATTACATTTAATAATCGAAAACTTGATCCTTTTAATACAACAGATTACTGAAGATAATCTCATATAAATGATATTCCATATTCGATGATTTTTTTAGCTTAAAAAACAATAAGATTTCATTTAATTTAAATATATAATTTTTAATATTTTCTAAGATTTTTTTATATAGACCGTCTGCAAATTGTTAGCTGTCAAATCGCTGCACCTGTCATTTATGAGGGGCATTCATTTTGTAAAACCAAACTACGCATATGCAAACATAAACATTTTCGTCTCTTCCTCTTGGTTCGTCTCGTTAATTTGAGTTATAAAAAATTTTTATAAATAATTATATTTAATTTTTTTTATTGTAATAAAATATTCACATAAAATTATATCTTAATTTAAATTTTAAATTTAAATCAACAAAATAAACTAACTTTTTAATAACTTCTATTATATTAAGAGGCGTCTTGAAGATATCAATTCCGTTTATTTCACTCTCTTAAATTTAAAATTTATTATAGTAAAAGATTTTTATATTTAATTTTTTTACGTAAAATTTTTTTATATAAAATCACGTCTGAACTTAAATTAAAAATTTAAATTAACGAATTAAATAGACACATAATATGTTTCAATAATATTAAATTAGGTAACTTTAAGTCTTAAAAAATATCTTTTAAGGACTCTGAGATTATTTTTTGATACAAAAAAAAAATGTCCAAATTTCCTTTTTAATTAATGGGAAAATCTATGGTAGGGGATGGTAGGGTATTTTGGTCACAGCCATTACATCAAAATCACAGCTATAGATCAAAATCAATGATTTTGTCTACAAAACCACAAATAGAGCTTACCACACGAGATTAATTAAACAAAAAGTTCCAAAAAAAATAAAAAAAACAAAACATCTTTTTCTCTGATACAAACACCACCACGGCTGCACCGCCGTCCCCTCCACCGCCGACCACAAACAAGATCAAAAACATCCGAAACTCCACTTCGTTCTTTTGAATCTGAGAACCAAGAAAGAAAAACAATTACCAAAAAATGGTTACCCATATACCCAAATCCCAAACCCAAATCAAGCTCATTCACAATCAAAAACATTCTAAGCTATTCCTACGTGAATAGAACGTCGGAGAGGGGGCGGCAAGCCCTTACGTGGATTATGGTGTCCATGAGAGAGAAGAGGAGAGAGAGATAATAGAAGCCGACGATGCTCTTTGATTGGAGTGATCCGACGCCGAAGAGTGCAGGTCGAGCTTCCGGCGGCGAGGTGGATCACGGTGGGGGAGGGCCGGCGAGCCCTCCCATGGGGTTGTGGCGGCCATTAGAGAGACGAAGCCAACGAAATTCTTTGGTCGGAGAGATCGGGCAGTGACGACGTCAAGATCGAGCTTCTGGCGGTGAGGTTGGGGATGATTCTCCGGCGGGAGGTTGGGTCCGGTGGTGGAGAAGGAAGAAAGAACAGTGCTCTAGGTTTTTATTTTATTTTTTTAATTTTTGTATAATCATGTGTGAGAGGGTTTATTTTTCTTTGATAGTCCTTCATCTTTCTTTACTGATTTTGATCGAGTGGTGTTTGTTTGTACCATACCGGTCTAAGGTAAGGACAGCCCCTTACCTTAGATTCTCCCTCAATTAATTAATTAGAAACTAAAATTTTTTGGTCAAGAAAACCATCGTTGGCGGTATCACATTGAATACTAGAAAACCATTGTTGCCCAAAAACATTTGCCAAAAAACCTTTCTATGCCAAACATTTCCTAGAGAACTTATGTACAAAAATATTAAACGCACTATATATTTTTTTGACTTTTTTTTACTCACTGTTAGCTACTCCCCTGATATTCCAATAAAAAACCATTGTAAAGATGGCAAGATGGAGTAATCTCTCCTACGGCGAACAGTGGGAGTGACGATCAGTTTCTTGTTAGAGTTTTCTTAGGCTCCGTTCACTTTAGAATTTGAGTTTTATTACAGTAAAAAATTTTTAAAAAATAATTATATTTAATTTTTTTTATTATAATAAAAAATTTTAATATAAAATTATATTTTAATTTAAATTATAAATTTAAATCAACAAATGAAGAAGCTTTTAATTTTATAAAAAAACGTACGTTACCTGCTTTCCTATACAATCAAATCAACAACACTAGTATTTGAATGGCCCACACAAGATTCTTCCTTCATTTGGTGCATTTAAAAATTATTTTAAAATAATTTTATTTTTTTGTATGAAAATAGAAATAAAAACGTTTTTCATCTAAACAAATTTTAAAAAAATATATATATTTAGTAGTTTTATTATGAGATTATTTTTAGTATAAAAAATCAATTAATATCTATCTCTTTCTACTTAAGAAAGGAAAAAAGAAAAACAAAAAATAAAAAACTACTAAGGTCGTTTTTCATTTTTCTCTCATTATACACTAAATTAAAAAATCATTTTCATTTTTATTTTTTATCTTTAATTATACCAAACACTATTTCTCTCTCATTTACATTTTTTCTTTCTCAAAAAACACGAAAAATAAAAACAAAAATAACTCCAAATACATCAATTATTTCTAGCAAGATGATTGTTATTCCTAATAGTCTCGTCAATAATTTTGTCTAGTATTAGGAATATCTCGCAGGAATTTTGTCCTTTTCCTACATTTATAAATACAATCGCTTTGTAGTTGTTACAAAATTAATATTGGGAATTCTCAAACTCCATTGTAATAAAGAAGAGACAATGTCCATCACTTTTGACCATATTCAAAGGTATGGACAAATCTGTCGATTTCTTTGATAAATTAATGTCAACTAGAATTCTAGCATAATGACCAAAATCACCGTCCAATGTTACTTGATCAATCTTCAGTAATGTACCCGGGCTAGAGCAATACAAACGACACTAAACTTGTGCGTCTACTGGCCTTGATTATTCGGCCGTTGAAGTCGCAAATTATATATTACAACAATGAACCTTTTTTATATTTTTTATGTATTTGATTGCAAAATTGTTCAAAAATATAGAACGTCGCCTATGAAAACATTGAATCTAATTTTCTAATTGCATCTTTTTTCATATCATAGCAATGAACACGGACATACAGGTTTTATGGTGCCCTTCATATATGAACGTGGATTATATTTTTGTTAGAAATTATATATATGTGACATTATTTGTTTTTTTCAGAAGGGAAACATATGTGACTTAAATAGAATTGATATTGATTCTCATATAGAACATACGCAGTCGACGCGAGCACATTTATTGGCTTATTATGGGAAAGTACCCAAGTCAACCTGGACAGCAAAAAACTCAGAATGCAAAAACAAAAACAACAAAAAAAGTCCTCAAAACACATCGAAATATGTACGGTCAATATCCCAATTAATTGCAGTCTCAAAATCATCCACTCTCTCTTCAATATCACTGCAACCATTATACGACGAATTACTCGTTAAAAGAATAAAAATTATTGTTGATTCATCTCTAAATAATTTAAATTTTTGAGATGAATTAGTAAATTAATATAGTATTAAAGTATAAAGTTTTGAGTTCAAACTCTGTAATTGTACTTTTTATTTTTATTTAAATTGTCATAATATGTTGAGTCTTTAATATATATCAGGTTTAAATATTCACGTGTTAGGCTTTTTAATTAATTTATCAACACGATTGTCTATTATCTAGCCTACACGTGAAGGGGAGTGTTAAAGTATAAAAACTACTGTTGGCCCACCTCTTAATAACTTAAGCTTTTGGGATGAATTGGTAAACTAACATGATATCAAAGTTAAAATATGGATTAAAAATTTGGATTTTTGCTCCACAAAAAAAGAAAAAAACTGAAAAATTGTAGCTCTAAACCCAAATAACCTAGATCTGAAATCAATTATTAGATTTAAAATGATCTCAACATAATCTAAAAAAGATCAAAAACAATAATATAACTATAAATATGAAAATACCATAAAATTTATTTGAGATTTAAGCATACATTCAAGTGGGCAAAGGAAGATTACCTCTTATGGTAGGCAGTGGAAAAACGTCACCCACGGTCGCCGGAATCCGTCAATGGGCCGGCCGGAATCAATGAAGAACCTACAAATAAGAAGAAGAGTTGCAATAAGTGCTCTTGAGCTCCTCCCTATCTCTCCCTCTCTGCCCTTTTCACGTTTGCAGCACACATCCACATAAGCACTAGCCCCCTTCTCTAAAGAAGGATTGTTGCGTATATAAACTAAATAGGCCTAAGAACTTTAACCAATATTCATTTAGAGAGAGTATTCGGTCCAATGAGCTAACTAAATATTATTAGATAGAGAAAATTCATATGCCTCAAGCGAGTCAATAAAATAAGTTTTCATTCCATTATAGACCGATATTTAACATACATGTATTCATTAATTCACATTAATACAGTTTTCCATAAGATACTTTAACTAATGACTGAGTGAAATATTATGATTATAGAAATTCACACAAAAGTATTCCAACATTACTAGTACTGCCAGTACTAGTGAATCCATGAACATGTTCATTGAAAAGATCATCACCGACAATATGATTGTTATGATCACGATCACCTTCTTCCTCAGCGTTGGCAATTCCCTTAAACAGATCAACCTCTTGATGATCATAATAATGGTCAAACCCCATGTCTTGGAATAAACACGTTTCACCTAATTCCTTTCCATCTAAAACTGACGCTAAGGAATTGATGTTCATCACATTATTATCAACGGCAGGTGATTGATCAGGCCCACTGAGCGATATAGGATCCGGACGATTTAAGAGGGACAGTTTTGATGCCATTTCATTGAGTAGAACCCGAGCATTTTTCGATCTAGGACTAAATTCCATAACAGTACTAGAATTACCCCCTTCAAAATCAGAAAATCTACCACTAGTGATAGTAATAGTACTAGTGGAATTGGCAATAAGAACATTGCCAACACTTTTGCCCATAGGACTAGCTTGTGGTGATTGAGACAAAACCGCCTTGACCGCGTTGAGAAGATTATGTGATTTTGGTTTGAGACAAGTTGTGGCCATCTTGTTGAGGATGCTGGATGGAGTTGAGGCCGCCGCTTTGTCATCTTTGCGGTTGTGTGGGGCCGCAAGTGAGGCGAGGCAACTAGATGCTTTGAGCTTGTTAGATGCAGCTAGCTCATTGAGTAGCCGATCATGGGCAGAAGTAGTAGTAGCAGTAGTAGTGGAAATTGACCTTTTAACATGAAGATGGGATTTGGGTTTTGGATGATCACCAATCTTCATAGAGCCTAAAACAGGATTTTGATCTACATTTTTAATTTCGATTGAGCGTCTCTTGAGGTGTGTGTTCCAGTGGTTTTTTATTTCGTTGTCTGTTCGTCCTGGCAAATTCTTAGCTATGATTGACCACCTGAACAAAATAATTAACAAAAATAAATTGTCAATTTTTAGAAAGTTAAAAAACAAATGGTGTTGCTAGTAATTAGTAGTTACTCACACTTCCTATATCATGCAGGTTTTAAGTTCAAATTCCTTAACCGAAATTCAAATATATATATATATAAATACACACACACATAAATAGATGTGCATGTACTTGAGGGGCAACTCAAGAAAATTTTCTGCGGCCGTTAATTGAGTCGTACGCACGCAATACGCACGCAATACGCACGCAAGGGGACGAGAAATAAAAAGTCTTATCTACAATAGTTGAATATCAGTTGGGTAACATGTAGTTCAACTTTATTGTATTAATTATTAGTTTATTACGCCATTATTACTTAAAAGAATTATCATTTTGGTACTTTGGTTTTATGTTTTTTTTTTTGAAACATAAAAGACATAACTTAAAAAAAAATGCTTGAAAGGAAAAAAGAAAGCTCTGGATGTTCGAAGGAATTGAATAATTTCACGTTATCTAAAAATATTTTTATATCAAAAGGGCAAAATTGCCATTTCACACCATGAAAGGATTGTTACACTACTTGAAGATGTCTTCTTAAATAACAACATGCGCCAATGAAAAAAAAAATCATATAATATAAAATATTTTAATTGATGTGGTATAATATATATATATATATATATATATATTGTTTTTTGAGGACACAGCTAAAACGTTTAAGGAAAATCAATTTCTCTGAACTTTTTAAAATCTAAATCTCAGAAAACAAGGAACCCAGAAGAAGAAGGAGAAGAAGAAAGTGCTTTAAACTAAAAATTAAAGGAAGCTCACTTGTTGCCCAGAACAGAATGAAGTTGAAGAATACTCTTCTCTTCCTCTGAAGTGAAGTCTCCTCTCTTAATATCAGGTTTCAAGTAATTAGCCCATCTCAATCTGCAACTTTTCCCACATCTCAGCAAGCCTAAAACACAGTCAACTAATTTATCAAAAATAAATAAATAAATAACAGTATTGAACTAAAACAAAATCTCAAACCAGACATAATTGTATTTTTAGCATATACGTACGATCAGTTTAGTACTACTAATTAATGAACTTTAATTCCGAATATATATATGTATATCAATTATATATATATATATATATATGTATATCAAAATATATACTTACCAGATTTCTGGGGCAAGGAACGCCAAGCACCTTCACCATGTTTTTGAATGTAAGAAACAAGCTTCTGGTCTTCTTCCGGTGTCCAAGCTCCTTTCCTCAATCCTTCTATGTTGCAACAAGGATTTCTTCCCATTTGATCACCGTCGTTTCCGAGTTTCCGCGACCGCGACGATGATGATCAGATACGATTATTCTATTACGCCGCGATCTTACAGCGTCTATTCGGAGATAATGAGGAAAATGTTGTTGAAAAAAAAAGGCAATTATTTGTTTGGTTTCCTGATGACCGCGACTTTATATGATAAGAGCCATACGGGCAAAGGAAAAGGAAAAAACAAGACCAATATTAATATAGAACCTTGCTGTTGTGGACCACCAATAATGCTGGTCCATTTTTCTTTCTTTTTCTTTCTATTTTTTTTCATTTAATAATGGTGGTGCATTTAATTTAGTATTAAATGGAAAAAACATGGTTAAAACTGTAAAGTTTGATTGAAATATAGAAGAAAAAATTCATCACCCAACTGATCATCTGATAATTACTTTATATTAGTTTACTAATCAATCTCAAAAGCTAAATTGTCAGAAGACGGACAAATAAAAAAAATGTCCTATTCAGTCAAGTAATTGTGCAAGTCAGTCAAAGTTACTGTATAAGTTAAAAAGTTACTGTGCAAATAGTAATAATAAATAATAAGTACTTTACAAATAATAATCGTGAATAATGCCAAAAAATTTTCTATAAATATGAACTAAATCTCTTTATGGTATTAATAGATACATCCAGTAGATGGTCACATGCTTGCTTATTATTAACTGGGAATGTGACATTTGCGAGATTTCTTACTCAGATAATTAAATTACTTGTACAATTTCTTGACTATACAATCAAGAAAGTTAGATTTGATAATGCTGGTGAATTCACATATCAAGTATTTAATGATTATTGTATGTCCATTGAAATATTTATCGAACATCCTATTGCTCACGTGCATACACAAAATAGTTTGGCTGAATTGTTGATTAAACGCCTCCAGCTTATTGCTAGACCATTAATGATGAGAATAAAGCTACCTATTTATGTATGCGGTCATGCAATTTTACATGCTGTGACATTAATTTGCATTAGACCAAGTCCTTACAATAAGTACTCTCCTTTACAACTGGCATTTGGTCAAGAACCAAATATCTCCCATCTAAGAAGTTTTGGTTGTGCGGTATATGTACCAATTGCTCCACCACAGCGCGCAAAGCTAAGTCCTCAAAGAAGACTAGGAATATACGTTGGGTATGAATCTCCTTTTATCATCAGATATCTTGAGTCTCAGACTGGTGATGTTTTTACGACACGTTTTGCCGATTGTCATTTTAATGAGGTGTCTTTCCAGTATTAGGAGGAGAAAATAAGTAGCTAGAAAAAAAATTACATGGTGTGAACCATCATTGTTGCATCTTAATCCTTAGACAAAGCAATGTGAACTAGAAGTGCAAAATATTTGTACTTACAAACTTAGCAAATCAATTACAAGATGCGTTCACTGATACAAAAAGGGTGATTAAATTATATGTATGAGTTGCAAATGCTCCCGCTCGGATTAAAATCCCAAAAGGACAATTTGAGAATGAAGTCATTAATATGTCTAAAACACACCTCCTAAAGCGTGGTAGACCTATCAGTTCCAAAGACAAAAATTTCCTAAAAAAGGAAAAGGAGCAAATGAGCAAAATGATCCTGATTTAAAGGAAAGTGTTCCGGCAAAAACGCAAAATAATACAAACAAAGATATTCTTGATATCGTAGAAAAGTCTGAAGGTTTTGAGAATAATGAGATCTTTGTTGAAATTGAAAATATTGACGAACTTTTTTTCTTGGTCTGTGGCATGTGAAATTATTAATGGAACTGAGAATCCTGAACCAAGATCCATTTCTGAATGCCAAATATGACACGATTGGATCAAATGAAAAGATGTTATACATGCTAAGTTAAATTCACTTAATTAGCATAAAGTTTTTGGACATATTATCTTAACGTCTGAAGCCATGAGACATATGGGATACAAATGGGTTTTTGTGCGGAAACGCAATGAGAAAAATGAAATTGTAAGGTGTAAAGCTCGACTTGTTGCACAAGATTTTCCACAAAGACTCGGGATCGATTATGGGGAAACGTACTCCTGTAATAGCTGCAATTACATTCAGATATTTAATCAATCTAATAGTTTCTAAACATTTAGTGATGCGTCTTATGGATGTTGTTACAGCTTATTTATACAGATCGCTTGATAGTGATATTTATATGAAAATTCCTGATGGATTTAAGATGCCTAAAGCACTAAATTCAAAATGTAAATATATATGTTCGATTAAATTACAAAAATCATTATATGGGATGAAGCAATCAGGACGCATGTGGTATAATCGCTTAAGCGAATATTAGTCAAAAGAAGGATATGTGCATAATCCCATAAGTCCATGTATTTTTATTAAGAGAACAACATTTGGTTTTGTTATAATCATTGTCTATGTCGAAGATTTGAACATCCTTGGAACTCATAAAGAAATTTAAGAAGCTGTGATATACTTAAAAGATGAATTGAAAATGAAAGACCTTAGAAAAGTGAAATATTGTCTTGGTTTATAGATTGAGTACCTTCAAAGTGGAATACTCGTGCATCAATCAAACTACACTAAAAATGTCTTAAAACACTTTAATATTGATAAAGCAAACCCTTTAAGTACTCCAATGATTGTTAGATCACTTAATGTTGAAAATGATCCAATTCGCCCTTGCGAAGGAATGAAGAAATTCTTGGTCCTAAAGTACCATATTTAAGTGTAATAGGAGCTCTTATGTATCTTGTTAATTGTACCCGACCAGATATAGCTTTTGTTACTAATCTATTAACAAGATTTAGCTCATCTCCTACACGAAGACATTGGAACGGAACTAAGTATATATTTTGTTATCTTCAAGGAACATTTGATTTGGGATTATTTTATCCTAAAGGATCAAAACAAGAAATGATTGGTTTTGCAGATGCAAGATAATTGTCAGATCCACATAAAGCTAGGTCTCAAACTGGATACGTGTTCACATGTGGAGGTACTGCTGTTTCATAGCACTCACAAAAGTAAATACTTATTGCCACTTCTCAAATCATGACGAAGTTATTGCACTCCATGAAGCAAGTCAAAAATGTGTAAGGCTGAGGTCTATGACTCAACATATCCAGGAAACTTGCGGACTATCTATCAGTGAAGATCCAACATTATTATTTGAATACAATGTAGCATGTGTCGCTCAAATAAATGAAGGTTATATCAAAAGCGACAGAATGAAACACATACCCCTAAAGTTCTTCTCATACTCCCAAGATCTTGAAAAGAATAAGGATATTGATATTCACTACATTCAATCAAGTGACAATGCAACAAATCTTTTCACAAAGGCACTTCCACTACAACATTCAAAAAACATATCCACAGTATCGAGATGCGTCATCTGCGAGATTTACGAGGAAGGCATATACATGTCAACTTGAGGGAGAGTTTACGTGGCTGTATTCTTTTTTTCTTATTATGGTTTGATCTCACTAGGTTTTCCTGATAAGGTTTTCAGCGAGGCAGGATAAACTTATATAGATAAATGATGTACTCTTTTTCCCTTTGCTATGGTTTTTATCCTACTGAGTTTTTCCTAGTAAAGTTTTTAATGAGGCATCATGAATGATAGACATCTAAATGAGAGTGTTATGAATAGTAGATGTCCTATTTAGTCAAGTTACTGTGCAAGTCAATCAAAGTTACTTTGCAAGACAGAAAGTTACTGTACATGTCATAATTTTACTGTGTAAATAGTAACTGTAAATAGTAAGTATTATGTAAATAGTAACCGTGCATAGTGCCGAAAATTTTTCTATAAATTAACACTAAGGGGTTGTTCTTTTAGAGTGTAACTTGAGTGTAGTTTTTGAGTTATAACTTGAGTTAAAGTTGTAATTTGAATAAAGTTAAGTAAAGTTGAATAAAGTTGAAACTTAAAAGAACGTGAACTTAAATAAAATTGTAACTTGAATTTAAACTTTTTCTGAGTTTTGTTGCAAAAGAACAATCTCTAAATTTCTTCATTTTATATACCTTTATAAGATTAATAAAATTCTCTTTCTAATTTCTCTCTTTAAAAGTTTTCTTTTAAATTTTAAATTTTCTTAATTTTCATGACACTATAAACTTTTTTTCCTCCGTCCATATGCAATTATTGTAATTTAAGAAAATGACGTGAGGATTGCGAGTCTTCAGTACTTTTACGAGGGGTCATGAGAGTAGTAAATGATGGTTATTTAAATAAAAAAGGACATGAAAATAGTAAATATTCGTGAGGCACTTTTTCTCAATCCATTTTGACCATAATGTCCCGTCCATCATGACTCATGAGCAGATCAGAATCTACACGTTCAACGATCAAGAATTGATCATAGCAAAAGAAGTTCATTTCATTACTAATTTGAGAATATGATGATAATCCTGTGAAGATTTGATCACTGTGATAATAAAAAATAACCCACTACTTTAAAAAGATCACTTTGTTTTGTACGAGGTAAAAGGAAAGAAAAGAAAAAGGGGTGTCGAGAAAAATATATATAAAAGGGGTTCAAGTGGTCCTTCGTGAACTTCTTAATTTTGTTCTAGCTTTTTCAATTTTGACAAATCATACCCGATGATGTCTTAGAAGGCTGACAAATAGTAAAATTGATAACATTAATCAATTTTGAATAGATTTTCACATGTACCCATCACAGGCCATTGTTTTGCTCTAATGAAAATTGTTGTCAATACGCCTACCCTAAAAGCAATCAGCCTTTTTTTAGGGTCTCAAGAGTTCCAGCCTCCTCATGACTACAAATTTAGAAATGTTTAATGTCAAATTATATGTACGTTTACGATTCATTTACATGTAAACATTTAATACATAAATAGAGATGGCAGTAATTCTTATGAGGATGGGAATCCATAAGAAGAAAAAATGGGACGGAGACAATAATTAAAGATAAGGATATGTAAGAAGAAAAAATCTTATCTTTAAATTATGGTTGGGTGGGGATGGGAGAAGCACTCCCTATTCGGCCTCCATCTTGATATACATATATTATTTTAAAGAAATATATTAGTGTGATTTTATTATAAAGTTTGATTTGCATATTTTTAAAATTTGCTTTGTTTTAAAATTGCATATTTTGAAGAAATATTAGCATTACTTTTTTTGTCACTCTTTACATTTATTGTTTGACAT